CTGTTGAAACTGATCAGAGGCTGATTCCAGGAAGCCCGGGGCAGAGCAACTCTGCCTCGGGCTTCCTGTAGTCAGCCACTGGTCAGTTTCAGCAGCGGCTGAATCTGGACGCCAGTTCCGACTTACATACAGATTCAACTTAAGAACAAACCTACAGTCCCTATCTTGTACGTAACCCGGGGACTGCTTGTATGTGTTGGGGGCAGGGATTTCCAGCCTTTCTCTCTCCTAATTTGCTTTTAATTTTGGAGATTCTAAATGTTTGCCTGCTTTATCTTCCATCTCTTCTAGATATCGTGTTTAGGTATCACTACAAATGAAAGGATGAATGCAAGACGATACAAGCACTTTAAAGTCACAACAACATCTATTGAAAGCCCATTCAAGTAAGTTTATAAAAATGTGTAAAACTCTATCATTTGTATAGCCAACCCATAAATAAACTTCACAACTGAATGCCACAAAACAGAGCTGAAGGCTGAAAACTATCTTCCAGATGGTGATAGGATCTCAGAATTTCATTTTTTAAAAGTGGGATATGAACAGCTATTTTTACCATAAACCAGTGTATCTGATTATGAAAAGTGATTCGTAGAGTCTTGCCATGCAAAAGAAATTAGAAAGAAGAGTAAATATATGATTTAATGTGGCCACAATCTTTATATAGCTGCAGCACAGCCACCATCAAATTTTTTTTGTCTGAGAAATACAAGGCTGTGCACAGCACAAATGCATTATGTTGCCTTTCTCACATTGTGGAGCCATTCCCATCAGCTTATTAGCTTTTAAAAGAAGTGGGTTTTTTAAACCATGAAAGAAGTGTCTGAACTGACTAAATAAGCACTGACTACAAGATGGAGCAAAGGTGTCGACACTGATTTGCTTATTCTGTGACCTTTCAGGAATTTGGATGCTTTCTTGGTTTATAGAAACTTCTACCTGTGAGGAAATCCCAAGCTCTTTAACACTCCTTTACGAGAGATCTTGGAAATACCATAATTTCTTAATAGCTGACCTTCAGTTCAGGCACATGGACACTGACCCTTGTGCCTTCTAGGACACAGGAATTAGATTATAGTCTTAAAAGGTGATTTTATTAACAAAATGAAGATACATTTAGTAAAACATACTTGATTGCTAAGTGTTACAGAGCAACTAAAAATAAAGATTGAAGCACAGAAAATTGCTTCTCTGGGATGCAGTTACAGTGTACAGATGGTTTTTTTTAAGTAGCACAGAGAAGTCTCTCACAAACTAAGACAACAAAGAAAGTAATCTGATTGTGTCTAACTATAAACATTTCCTGTTCTGCTTACATTTCTGCTATTCCAGAGTTTGGGTTTTCTTTTCTTAGATGGGCTATTGCATGAAAATCCATGCCTTATTACTGCTTAGTCCATTTTTTGCCCAGCTCCTGCTCTGATTCTTATGCAGAGGAAACTGAAACAGGCAAAACTTGTTTCATTTTAAGAATCTTTTTCCTTTCACTGAAACAGGCAAAACTTGTTTCATTTCAAGAATCTTTTTCCTTTCTTCACATTGGCTCTCTTGGCTCCCTGCCAACACTTCCTGGATACCTGCTGGTTTGGGTTTAACCCTTTAGTTTAGAAAAGGGTAGTGCCCCTCCCTTCCATCACAAAGAGTCAATTGTGCTCTCAGAAATTGGGCATCCACTTGGTGTGTTCTGTGTTTGGGGAACTTTTAGGTGAGCAAGCAGACATGGTAAATTGGGAGGTAGCCAGGCTTGTACTGTAGTAAGTGAATTGTGATGTTACTAATGTATGTCATCTTGGTTGCTTTTTTTTTAGCCATGGATGTATAAGGAATATCATAGACTTCTTTGAATTCAGATGCTGTGGTCTTTTTCGTCCTGTTATTGTGGACTGGACAAGGCAGTATACAATAGAATATGACCAAACTTCGGGAGCAGGCTACCAGCTAGTGTAGCACCACCTTCATCCTGTGAGCATATCATATCTGAGTGGTGCCTGAAAATTTTCTCTCTCTCTCTCTCTCTCTCGAATCCACACCCTTTGAACCGTAGCATGCTATGTGTAGGGCTAACAATGAATCTTATGGTACCTTCTCTTTATCAGAGATTTATTAATGAGTAAAAATGGACAGAATAAACTGCCAATCCTGATAAGGAAGAGGAGGAAGACTGAAAAGGGATTTTAACCATTCTTAACATGCGAATTATTCATGAGAATTATTCACAACAACATATTCACTGCATTTGTTGTTTGATTTTTTTATTTAACACCTTTTGCAATAGCGCATGAGATTATTGAAGTGTTGACATACCTAGTCATGTTGTGCTGAACAGAAGTATTCATTTCTCAATTTGAATAATTCCATTGGAGCAAAAGTCTAAAACTAAATTTCATAATGCAGTCAGACTTCATTAAGATTGCTGCATTTTATTTCCTGTAGTGTGATTTTATATTGATTTTTCTATAGCATTATGTACATGGAAAAATGTGCATTTCAATACTGTGATTAAAATCATGTGGTTTTATTGGGGATCCACTGTAATGTGTTATGCTGCTGAAGCAGAGCACATGAGGATAATGTTCACAATTAAGTGTGTTGCCTATATTTTATGGCTCTCAGCTGTTACAGCCATCTGTTTCCAGTACTTGTTTTGAGGTTATATAGTCTGAAAATAAAGAGTTGCACGAATAAGGAAAGCTCTTCTGTTGAAATCGAAGCCCTGCTTAAGTGCATGATATACCTTTTAAAAATAGATCACAATATATACTATATGATATTCAGAAAAAAAACAGAGTTTAATTTGATATCATTGAACAAATTATATAAGCAATTTAATAGTAGGAGTGATCCAATGTAATATATTGCGTAGTGACTATGAAGGTTTGAAGGGAAGTTGCATAGGGGGACCAAAGATGTGTCTGCAAAATCTCAGTAATAGAAAAGAAAGATTTATAACCATTTTACATTCTATGTGATTGCAAAGCAAATAGTGAAAACTAACTGAAACACTCATTTTGTTTGCACATAAAATGATTGAATCCAAGCTTAAGTAAAGTGTGATCTCTGTTAATAGCACACATGAATGGAAAATCTAATAGGACACTCCGAAGAAGATGGTATGTCAGCAAGTGGAAATCACCCTTGAGATTTTTTTTTTCTGTTAAATTCTTACACTGCAAATATGTTTGAAAGGTAAGGAATGATCTGAAATCTCATTCCAAAGGGGCTTTTTGTTGTTGAATATGATGCACTGATTCTGTTTTGGCGTTTTCCTATACCCATGGTGAATTATTCACTGTTTCCTTAACTATTGTTTACAGAGAGACTGAGTCTTGGATTAGTTCTCTTTTAAGTGCTGTAGCAACCTAGTGGTTCGAAAAATCTGTGAAGGGAGTTTGGGGAGAGGACCTGGAAGCAGTTGATAGAGACCACTGTAAAGAATGTGTATCTGTATATAAATAATTTATCAAATAGTTTTCTCTTTGTGAGTGCGTGGTAGTATATTTAAGATTGCTCATTTCATTTTATCAACCAAAAAGTGTAGGAAAATATCTAATGAGCTTTTAGTGATGTTCAGTATTGCTGTTAATAGGCATTATACCTTGCAAATTCACTGCATGTTTGATGCTTGGCAAAATTAGCATTCTCTGTAATATGCAGATTACAGGTATTAAAGCAATCTAGTGGTATTCCCACCCCTTGCCTTAGTAAGAGGAGCAGTGAAACTGTAAATAGGTAATGTTCAGTATTTGCAAGTAGACATTTTTTTCTTTAGATGTTTCTTTGATAACAAGACACACAGTTTCTAAGTACCAGATATCAAGATTTACAGAAACATAAAGTTAGTGTACTTGAATGTTTAATACTGGGGACGGGAGGGGAAATCAACACTATATTTGACATATTTGGGTGGGAGAGAAGAGTTGGTTACAAGAGTGATGAGGTCTGTGCCATTTTCTCAAAATCTAGAATTGTAACAATTTTGTTAACATTAACAACAAATGACACCATTATTCCTGTTTTTAATTTCTAAATAGAAAAAGCATGAATAAACCTTCAAAATTTCATTGCCTATTTTACAGTTAAAGATAATGTGTTGCACCTCTATGGAAAAGCTTTTTTCTTCATTTATATTTGGGGTTGGTTGGCATAAAGAACTTCGATCAATTGATCAGTTTTTAGTAAATATATTTCATGGCATCAGTAATCTGTTATGTAAAATACATTGTTTATTTTAGTTGTTTAATTAACTATCAAAGTCTGTATACCGGAATGTTTGCAAAACAAAGGTGGACTTTGGTGGTAATATGAGGTTAATTTTGCCGTCATTAATTGAACATAGCTCCGTAGTGGGAGTATTGCTTCCCAAAGAGTTAATTGACTTGAATAAAATTGAGACCTATGATCTGAAACCTTCAGAATGGGAAATACCATCTGTGCATCATTTTTCTCTCAAGTAAGCAATTCAACTTAAATTTGCATATTACAGCAAAACTACATCACTTTGAAAACTTTATTAAACTGATCCAGACTGAAATCAGATCAGCTTTATCTGATATAGGTTGAGTAAATGGGAATTTTGTCTCAGCCCTAAACATGTGCTGTTTCTTTGCAGGTTTCTGTGTTCTTTGGTGTCCACCAGATTTTGTTTTTGAAAATTAATAATCATAAAACAACATCATTACATTTTAAGCTATGGATACATTGTTTTTGTATTTTCTTTATTTATAACTGTGCCAAGTATTATTTTACTACTGTCAGGATCTTGATGTATTACATGGTGAACAGAAATCTGTATATGTTTAATAAATTAGCACTCCTTACATAAATTAAATCTGTGAAAATTTTGTAAGTTATTAATCAAATAAATATTGACTCTAAGTTGCAGTGTTTGTCTTGACTTTTTGTGGCACACTAAGTTTATTCAGTAAGCTGTGTAGCGCAATCAACAATAATATGGAAGAGTTGTCTTATGACGGAGTATAAATAAATTATTGTGCAGCATAACACATTTCCAGATGTTGTTTTGTCCAATGTAATTCTAAGTAGGGAGAATATAATTGTTTTCTACAGTATTTTGAAGAAGAAAATACCAATATCATAATAATACATTACCTTTACTTTCGTAGCCTCTTTCCAAAAATATTCCCCAGTGTTTTACAGCAAGTATGAGCCAAATTCTGTGTTGATACACATTGGCACACCTCTCTTTTCGTCAGCGGGGTTGCATTACATGTAAATCTCCTCTGTATTTTAAAATAAGTATTATCCACCAATGAACGGTATTATTTTCTGAAGAGGAATATGCTGGCAACACAGCATTCCTGTTTTTAGGAAGGACTGGGTTCCTTTATTTTAATAATTTAAGTTTGAAAAGAAAAGGAAAGCAAATTAGAAACTTTCCCCTTCTTTTGCTTCAGCAATAACAAAGACTGGAATCTACTTTAAAGGACATCTTTGATTCAGCCTCACTGGTAGATACAATAACTTGTTTTCATCTGTGTTGTCAAATTGAGGAGACACAGAAGTTCGTGAAGGTTTAAATCTCTTGTCACATCTTGGGCCTGATTCACATGCATACTGGGGCAAATGTGCGCCTGAGGAGACACAGAAGTTCGTGAAGGTTTAAGTCTCTTGTCACATTAGTTGCACTCCATTGGGCCTGATTCACGTGCATACTGGGGCAAATGTGCGCCACTTCCCTAGCATAAAGATGCCCAAAAGCCAGTTTAGCCAGTCCCTGGAATTTAAGTGCAAAGTTGAGCATTACATTAAACATCTCCTCTTGTTCCTGAGTGTGAAGACATGGAGGAGAAAAGAGGGAATGATTAGAACTTTCTTATGCCTGCTATGTACTGAGCTGACAGAATCATCCTTTGAAAGAGCGACGAGGAGTCCTGTGGCACCTTATAGACTAACTGAAGTGTAGGAGCATAAGCTTTCGTGGGCAAAGACCCACTTCGTCAGATGCATGAATCATCCTTTGGAGCTCTTGATGGCCAGAGTAAATTTGCCCAAGGTGATGTCATTTATATTGGGGACCAAATTGATGCCAGGATAGACCTTGGAATCATCACAGTGCAAAGGGAGCTCATGGCCACAGACAAGCATCTGCCCCATTGAATGAAATGCAGTTAGTTCCAATTTACACTAATGCAAGATGAGAATTGAAACCTGATGTCAGTTGCTCAAAAATAAAATACAAGGTTTAGGCATTTTAGCAAATGGGCAAAATATACATAATTTACACTCTGGAGCAGCACAAACAAGGCATGAAACAGAGTAGATGGACCATGCTGTACTTTCTGTCCTCCTGTTTCTGATACAACCTTATTCCAGCCATCCTACATGTGTTATACATTTAACATACCCGAGGCTGGATCAGACCCCTTAGAACTGCACATGGAAGAGACCCTCTGCATTGATCTCCCCATCCCACAGGGAAGTGAGGGAAGGGGGCAGTATCTCCAAGGTGGTGCTCTTCCCCCTTTTCCTTGGACCAGTTAAGAGAAAAGTGAGTTGGCTGAAGCCATGGCTAGAGCCTGTCTTGTGGTCAGGGAGAGGAGGTGTTTCATCTTTGACCTTCCTATCAGAGAGTACTCTGTTATGGAAAGTCCCATCAAAGGGGAGTAGCCAGTGGGGTAGTTCTAAGTCAGCCAGGTGTAAGCAGTGAGAACTGCTGGGGAGAGGGTGGCTTTTGTGGGCTTGGCACAGCAGTGAGAAATCTGCAGCCTCTGAACTGACAGTTCGCATGCAGTTCATCAAGGTGAGCCACAGGTAGGCTGCCAGACAGGTTGCTTACCTTGTGTCTGCAGTTACAGCCACCCGCAGCTCTCATTGTCATGGTTCACCATTCCCGGCTAATGGCAGCTGAGGGCTGCTAGCAAGTCCTTGTTTCCCATGCCACTTCCTGCCACTCTCATTGGTCAGTGGGAGTGTAGGCAGCCGTACTTGTGGACACAAGGTAAACAATCTGTCTGGTGGTCCCTGATGAGCCATGGGTTGCCCACCACTGGCTTGGAGGGTAGTTCATCTGTCATTTGGAATAAACTCTACCTTCTGCTTACTCCCTACAGATTGTCTACAATTGGAACCTCCCAAAGGCTGCTTTCCCATTAGCTCACCTCATGCCAAATTAGCCCTGGTTATACAACTATAATTCACACACATTTTCTGACTAGCATACACCATTGATTGCCACCCAGAATATGCCTACTTTGGAGATGGGAGTGTCTCTCCCAGCTCAGGTAGACAGACTGGTGCTGGTGGGGCTCAAGTTATGTTAAAAATAGCAGTGTGGACATTGCAGCTTAGTGCAATGTTGGGTCTAGTCCAAGATGGCTAGTTAGTTTTTGGAGTTAAATTATTTTAGCTCGTGTCCTGTAATTCTCTCACGCAAATTCCTTAGTAAAGTTACACCAATATAGATCCAGAGTAACTCCACTGAAGTAAATGGGACTACTCCAGATGTAAGGTGGGGTGATTTCTTAAAAACTTTGTTGAGGTTGAAGCATTTGCAATAACTGTGGAAGAGGGATGAAGTCACTTCAATGGTAGTCTGTTTTATGTTGTGAAAGGCATAATTTTGATCATTACGGTTATAGTTTACTTCCTTGCTTTTTCTGTGGTTTAAATAACATAATGCCCTTGGGACTAGGAGGAAAATGGAGCCAGGACTAATCACTGTGACTCTCTGGAAGGCATGTCAAGAAAACCCCCAATTTTAGTAATGCAAATCATTTCTGATTTCCTTTCCAAGACTTAAACGCAGTTTGTTTATGGTGAAATGAACAATGCACAATATGCCAAATTGTGCAGATATAGTTCAAACATCCTCTAATTTTGCTGATGCTGTTATCTGTATGTACTTGTGTCTCCTTACTGTAGCTACAACAAATAATGAAAAGGAGTCGATAAGGAATGTTTGAATGACACTGTTTAGTCTGTCATGCATTTAAGTATATTGTTTTGACTCTTCTGTAGCATATAGTTCAGATTCAGCATTTCAGTGTGACTTGCAAAGGGAAGTGTTTCACTCCATGTATGAGTATAAAGAAGTAATGTACGGTTAATAAATTTAATCTATGTGCTCAAATACTCTAGGTACAGATTATTTGGAGAGCAAGAATGAATCCAACCTAGGAACTACACTGTTGCTTCCCCAGTCAAGTTCATGTTTAAAATAAATACGGTACTAGAAGAGACAGCTTCATGGGTTCTCAGTGCAAGTGTACTTACATTCAGCCTGACCAGTCTAGCTCGCTTAGGTCTGCCAGTGAGGTAAATTGCCCGAGTTGTTAACTCTCCGGGGGAAACTAAGAATGATGCCTCAATTAACCTTTTGGGTTCATAGCCTCAGGAATATTCAGGCTGCTTCATGTCACTCTAGAACAAAATCAGGTCCAGGGCCGGGTCTGACGCCAAGCATTTCTCTCAGGCCCACCTAGCTGATAATCAGAGCATGCATACTCACAGCTCGCAGGGTATATTCAACTGACCCCCCCCCCCCCCCCCCACACACACACACCTTGCTCTGTCCTGCAGCACAGCTGCTCCCAGGATTCTCCTGTTAGCTGTGCAGAGTGGGGGTGGAGAGGAGAGGGGAGTGCTAAAGTCAGGGTTTAAAGTCCCCCTACCCCTGTACCTAATCTCTGCAGAGCAGGGCTCGGGGAGAGGGAGATGCACAGTGGGGAGTGCTAAAGTCAGGGTGTCCCCCTACCCCTGTACCCAATCTCTGCAGAGCAGGGCTCAGGGAGAGGGAGACGCACAGCGGAGCTGCTCCAATCAGAAGCACAGATGGTAAGTGACTCACAGGGAGCTGCCTGCCTTAAGAGGCAGTGCACTATTTTTAAAAGTTCAGTGCTTATGTGCTCTCTCTCTAGAGCAGGGGAGGTTGAAGACACAGCAGAACAGCTTTATCTGTCTTAAAGAGACAGTGCGTGGCTTCTCTCAGAAACTTACCCAGCAGCACACACGCATTCTGTGTGTCTGCCACACACACACACTTCCAGAAGTGGGGCACACCCTAGGTGGACCTGTTCTCCACCAGACAGAACACGGAGTGCTATAGTTTCTGCTCAAGGTGAGTCTCAAGTGCAGGATCCCTGTCAGATGCCTCTCTGACGTCCTGTTTTGGGGGCTGTTCTACACCTTTCCCCCAATCCTCTCACCACCAAAGTCCTAATGAAGTCAAGTGGGGGCAAGGCTCAGGTCATTCTCATTGCGCCTGGGTGGCTCCATTAATTTTGGTTTGGCAGCCTGATGAGCCTCATGGTGCCCCCACCATGGCCGCTGTCAAATCCACCTCAACCTAATGTCCCTAGGGTCATGATTGTCTGCTCCATCCCAAACCGGCGCATCTCCACTTCACTGCATGGCTATTTTGTGGCCAAATCCAGAGGTGCAATCCTGCTCTGAGGGAACGCAGTGAGTCCTTCAACCCAACAACCAGACATATATGGCGAAGGAGACTAGGTTCTCCTATGTGTTTCATATGTGTTCATTTTTTTTAACTGTATCCTTTGGTATATATGGTTGTGACTATTTTCTTCCACTATTTGATCTGAGGAAGTGGGTCTGGCCCACGAAAGCTCATCATCTAATAAACCATCTTGTTAGTCTTTAAAGTGCTACATTGTCCTGCATTTAGGTTCTCCTTGTGAGCCATGCAGAAGGGGCTTTCCCCTTTTGAGGGCTCCAGACAAGCTATCTTAGATTATCTCTTCCATGTGACGCATTGGAGTCTTGCCTTTTATTAAGGTTCACTTGGCAGCAATCTCAGCTTTCCATGTGCCAATCCAAGGCCAGCTTGTGTTTTCCCACAACATGACAGGCAAGTTCTTGAGAGGCTTGAGGTTTTATCCACACATTCAACCTCCTGTCCCTCAATGGGGCCTTAAGCTGGTCCTCTCCATGCTTACAGGACCTCCCTTCAAGCCCATGGCCTCATGCTCCCTCCTGCACCTGTCTTGGAAGATAGCCTTCCTGGTGACTATCACATCAGCTGCATGCCCTGACTTTGGAGCCCCGATATACTGCCTATTCTAAGAATAAGGTTCAGCTCTGGCCCCATCTGGCCTTCCTGCCCAAGGTGGTCTCTGCATTCCACGTGGGTCAAGACATTTTCCTCCCGGTGGTCTCCTCTAAACTGCCTAGGACCAGTGAAGAAAGGTGACTTAATGCTCTGGACATCCGAAGGGCTCTTGCATTTTACCTGGGATGGATAAAGCCATTTCATAAGACAGTCCAGCTCTTCATGGTTTATGCCAAGAGGATGAAGGGGCTCCTGGTGTTCACACAGAAGATCTCAAATTGGATAACCTCTTGTGTCCGAATATGCTACGAGTTAGTAGGTGTCCAGCTGCTACCACTGGTCAGGGTGCAAGCTTCTTTGGCAGCCTTCCTTGCTCACATCCCAACATAGGACATCTACAAGGTGGCAACCTGATCCGCTAGTCACACTTTCACAACTCATTACGCCATCACACAACAGGCCCAGGAGGATGCAGG